TACGAAAGCAAATGAGTTTTTTTGATGAAAGTGAACTAAAGATAAAAACAACATTTGGCCGGAAGCGTTTTCCATTTTGTAATACAAACGGCTGATTAGGTCTTGTATGTCAATCTAAATTACTTTTTCAATTATTAAAAAAAACCGTTTACGGAATGAATGCGTTCAATAATTATGCAATGGAGATCTATCTATTCAGACGACAACTTAAGCCCTTTTTAGGAATGTCGATTTGTCGTTCTTGTTTATTTCACTCCCGAAGATTGTGTGTAGCAAGGGTTCAAATCTAATCATTCTGTTTGTACGTCTGGGAGTGAAACTTGTAATGCAGCTGGCGGATACCGGAAACTTAAAGGCAATGAAGTTGTGCTTAATTCGTTTTGTCCTCTGCGAGTTTCTAAATAAATTTCCAATCAATAGCCCGTTCTAAATTCTACAATGCGTGCAGATTCTGTGTACATTTTAAGAAGCTGAACCGAACGGGATGGTATTCCCACCTTAAATGTGCGATTGGTTTATATTGGTGTAAACAACGTCTCGTAGACGTTATTTTTAAATGAGATTATTATTATTTCAAACGTATTACGTAAATTTGGAGAGTTATATACGAATAAACACAAGGTTGGGTTATTTTACTTGAATTTGTATTTCCGTATTTACTTTTCCATTCAGAATGGTTGGCAATTGCGTAGCTTTTGTTTTAGATGTTATTATTTGCTTATTGCTATTGTAAATTATATCAAACTTAAATAACATGCTTTAACTAAGACACATCTGATCAAGTTTTCATATTTTATAAAAGGCTACATCTGGTGGTTTGTGATAACGAAGATGCAGGTCTTATGGTGGAAGTGGTGTTACCTTAAATACTGGAGACAACGAGAAAACGAAGCCGCTAATTCCGCGACAATAGAAGAGCGTGTAAATTTCTTTACACTAAATCTTGGGCAGTCGCCCTTATTTTCTTAGATATTTTGATAATAAAGTTGTGCAGAAGCATAAGTTAACCGAGGTGGTGTAAGAAGGTTAACGCGTGCTGATTACGGAAATAGCTTTGTCGAGTAAGTTGGAAAAGCAAGCAGTTGTAGTGCACAGTGGGTTTTTGTTAAAGTTATCTCCTTATTAAAAGTGTCTACCGTCTACAGCAACCGAAAACTGGTCAACTGTTCATCGGGCCGGTGTCGTCTTCGTTTCGGTTCTGTGTTGTAAAGCAAAGGGAAGTCCAGAAACTGTCAGCATTTGTGTGGGAATTAAATGCGCGTTGTATCGCAAACCTTCTACGATGATATTATTATTTTGTGGTGTCGGTAAAAATTTAAATTAATTGGTTGGTTTTCGTGCCAAACAAGGGCGAGGTAAAGAGCAGAAGGGCTCAAATTACGACAGAGGAAAAACTAGATCTGCCGAAAAACTGACCCGGAGACTTTCGGCAGCAAAAAAATTACTTTGGAATATTTGCACCAGGAATGCTAGCCCCCAAAAGATTTGCCTCTGGCAAATGTTTTTCGGTATATTCGCCGGTGCAAAATTCGGCCCTAATTATAAGACTCGGAATGTTCTCAAACGGAGTACCCACCCTTAGAAGATCGTCCTTTCTAGAATACTCACGCGCAAGGACATTGCTCCAATTACTCGCTCGCAAGGAGCTTACTCCAACAGAAACTAACGCTCGCAGAAACCTCCACCTCCGAGCATCGAACTTCACAAAACTCGCCCATGAAACAAGTCATCCCCCCCTCCCCTTGTACTCGATCGCTGATTCCCCATGATTCGTTTTCATAAGTTTTCCTCAAAAGAAAACTTGCTCCGCTAAGATTTTCCCCCGACAGTTTCGAGCATAGAACTATGTCACTAGGAATGGTTCCCAAAATATTGACGTCTAAAGAAGCTTTACTCACAAATAATTACTCTTAAAAATACTATACTGTTGTGTAATCACTATTTAACTAATGGCGAGACACCCTGTATTTTAAGCGTAAATCTAGTGGATTATTTGAAAGTCAAAACAAAGTTGGTTTATTGTATTTGAATTTGCATCTCAGCGTTGTTTTTCTTTGTAGAAGTTTTATAAATGCGTGGTTGTTATTTAAATTTTATCGCTTTTTTAAATTTTTTATTTAGATTTGTGTATTTAACTATAAAACGCGAAACTTCGTGTTAAAAAGTAGGGAGATCTGGTCGTTTGCAATAAGGAGTTTTTATTGGACGAAATATAATTAAGGCACGTCGCTGTTAAAAGAAAAGGTTTTACGTTGTGTGAGGGTGTGTGTGTGTTGTTATTTTGGGCGCAAGTGGGGATGCGTTCCTTCAAAGCTGGCGTTATCAAGTCCGTTGTGATTGGCGAGTCATTTGAAATTTTTTTAAAGGAGTATTTGATGGTGGAAATGGTGTTTCTTTAAATACTGGAGACAACAAGTAAACGCTGCTGCTGCAGCAGCTGTTGTAAGTTTCGCGACGATAAAAAAGCGTGTATTTTTGTTTACGCTAGTTTCTCAGGCAGTTGGCTCTACTTGTTTAATTGAAGACGCAGTTCGTCGGTTTCTAAATATGTAGAAAAAGTTTGTCCGTATACAGAAAAACTTACCTCAATTGTGAGTAAACAAAGCAATTGCCTGCTTAGTGAAAGTTTCTACCGTCCGAGGAGCCACCGAAATTTATTTTCATCTCAAGCCAGTTCGAGTCAATAAGTTCAGTTTAATAAAGGAGTGTTTTGTGTAAGTTGAGTGCGCCTGATTATTGCAAAGATTGTACGACCAGATTATTTGGACTTTAAGTTAAGCTGTAAGCAACTCTCAGATATTCTTTATTTTAATTGTTGACGACCTGCGTGCGGGGTGTTATGTCTAAACAAGCTTTGTAAGCTTTTCTTTCTGGCAGGGGTTTCGTTTTAATTGTTGTATCATGTGTGTGTTTCGGGAAAAGTTGTTGTCATTGTCAATCAATTCATTGTGTGTTCATTAGAATCCTTTGTGCGACCTAGATAGAGCCAGATTTTTCTATTCGTGCCACAGATTTATTTCAGGTGTTACTCAATATTCTTCGGAGTTTTCGGAGGTTGATCGAGGCCGCAGAGACCATCGAATTGAAAAAGTTTAAATTAATATTAGGATTTGTCTTCTATCAGATGCCGGATGTGTACGAGGAGAGATTATAAAATTCCAGTTTCAAGTTTGATTCGTTTTGGCTAGATGGACAGGTGTTTTTTGTGTGTGGCGTAGTGGTAACTACCCAATTCTAAATCTCTCTTTTATTTCTCCTCCGAACAATTTGCCTCCGGAAAACCCTTCAAGTAAATTCGTCTCCAGAAACTGTTGCTATGTCATCTTGCACTATTGGAAAATAAAGTTACATTCTACTGTTGCCATAGCACTAGGGCGCAAAAGTCATTTCAAGGGAGAGCTTTCTTAAGATCGTTTTTTTTTAAGAAAAGTTGCATTCATTTGGAGTGTGACTAGATTGTAAGTATTTTGTAAGAACGGAATAAGTTTGCTTAAAACTAAAGCAAATAGATCTGAGGATCAGAGCATATTTCGATTACTGGTTTCTTTATTTCATGGGGTTGAAACTCTAATGGAGAAACGCTCCTCTTGCCTTTTTACTTGAATCTTTAAATTTGGTTTGGTGGCACCTTCCTGGAATTAATAACAATTCTGTGGCAAAGTCAAAATGTTATTTGTAAACATTCTGTATTATGTGTTGTAAAATTCCTCCGTTAGATGTCGTCTGTTGTTGTCCCCATGTTTTCAACTTAAATCCCTTCTTCTTCTTCCCTCACTTGTTTTGTGGCCGGCCGTGTCCCTACAAAATCAGGATTTCGTAATTCAAAAGGACAATTTTCCCAAACTCCTCCTAAGACCTGCCCAAATTAACCACAGACCAAAACACTGTAGTGATTTATCGGGTTCCTGAATTAGATCGCTCGACTTGACTGAAACACGATTATCGTACGTCCTCCGTGACTAACGACAATACCACTGGCTCCGATAAGAGATCCTTGGAATTGTTTGCAAGCTTTAAGGGCTGTTCGTAAGGTTGAACTTTGCCGGACTTTATTGGTTAACCCCAAACAGGCAGTGTTGCATTCACCTGAAGAAAATTTAAGTACAGTACAGTGTGCGTGTGCCCTATTCATTGAACCCGGAAGTAAGGTTAGAGGAAAGATTTTCGGAATTCTTATATTCCCGTAGAATACGTCCCTGTACACAGTTATAAATAACCGATTGAATTGCAACCAATCGCATGGTATCATCACCATCAGAACAGGTCAAACGTGAGAGTTTATTCAACAGACAGCAGTTTCCGTTTAAAGCCTTTGACAGCTGCATCGGCACCGTATCCGTTGGAAGTGTCTCCGTCAACGCTACCACGGGAATTAAATAGTCTAAAACTCAGTTTTTGAACTCATCAAGTACATCTTACAATTCTATTTTACAAAGTTTTCGCCTTTTACCAATTTTTTAAATTCGTGGCCATTTCTACTACTCCTACCCGTTCCCTCTTTTTACTTTCTAACAATGAAACAAATACCTCAGTTAGCCTTATTTTGTTTCACAGACCTTTTCACAAGGAAGTTTTTTATTAAGTGAAGAGAAATTAAATCTCCAAGAAAAATGGCATCTAATGATATGGACGTTTGACGTCGTGCCGTTAAAGAACTTGGTCTTGCTGTACAGTGTAAAACTGCTTATAATTATCAGATGTCATGTCGGTTGGATTGAGGATGGAGACCGGCTACTGCTTTCAAATCGCCTAGCAATTGAAGACTGCGGGGAAAATTTTGAAAATAACGACTGGGTGGGGTTAATGATATTACTGATCAGGAAGTACAAAAATTGATTGAATACTGTCAAAAGAAGACTGTTAATCTTAGTGATTTTTTTTACAGAAAGGGAAAGTTTTCTTTTATTCGTCGTAAACTTATTTTTAATTAATGCGAAAATGTTCCTTGACAAGTATGAGACATTTATCTTTGCTTGTATAAACGAAATGAATACAAACAAAACAAAATTCAACAAGAGCAACCAATCTAATAACACAATATGTTTATGGCAGAGCTTTATTGTACAAAAATGCTTTAATATTTTACGGACGAACCCTTTAACTCTTACCAAACGAACACTCCGTGACTTCCTCTACCACGAAACTCTGTAAACATTCGCATTGTTTATTAAAGCAAATTTAAGGATATGTTGTGGGTAAAAGGACAAGGTCGTTATTGCTACTGGAGATAACACTTCGTAGGTAGACAATATCATCAGGGCTTACATCCCATCCGGTAAGTTGTCCTAATGATTTAAGTTTCGGGCAATGACCCATTAACAGTTGAACGGACGTCGTTGTTAAATATTTAGCGCACGAGAACCATAACTCTTCCAAATACAGAAGTTCGCATTCCGCACAGAGTCTAAAAAGATCACCATCCGTTACCCTTAATATATCACCGACAATAAACCGCCTCAAAAAGGGGCAGTTCGTTAATATATACCGCACAATAAAGTCGTCCACATTGCAGTAAAGAATGTCGATGGATTGTAAGCACATAAAATATGAATCGGTTTGGGTCAGCGTTAAGCTTAGCCTGTACAAATCTAAATGAACAACGTTCGGACACACCAAAGAGATGTAACTCACGTCTACCGCCACGTGTCTAGTGTTGTACAGGTGAAGTTCCCGAAGTGCTTCGCCCCCATCCTGCAAGTAATCAACGAGCTCGTCATATTCAAAACGAGAAAGTTTCAGAGTAGTTATCCGTTTCAGATATTTTATCGAGCTCAGCACGCCCTCGTTTGGAAAATCCAAATACAACGATTCCAAACCGGAACACATCCTCACAAGCGCCTTACCGGCCTCGGTCGTAGTAGACGTGTCACGCAGATACAGCAATTTCGAACTGAACTCAGGATTTCTTTCATAAATACGGCACAGACTCGAACCGACAAATGAATACGTCCTAATTGCCGTCAGATTAGGCAAATTCTCGATTATATCAGCTAAAACTTCAGACGATTTGTCTTCCGGCTCGCAAAGGAACCGCTTCCCGTAACTTCCGATTATTAAAACTTTAATTGACGAACTTTTAAATGAGGAGAGTTCAACCGCTGAGAAAAAGCACTCGCCACTAATGTCTAAAACTGTAAGCTGACCGCACTCCGATATTGGTTTTAGTATAAAGTCTCCGGCGATATGGGGTATAATCAGAACTTTTAAGTTTTTTAATCTACGTAAAACCTCCTCGAGCAGTTCCGGCTGGTCATGCACCCATAAACCCTTCAAATTTAATTGCTGAATGCCCGTTCCACTTTTAATAATCACTTGTAATATTTTCACGTAGTAGGAGTAGGGAAATATTCCAGTTTCGAGGACTTGCACGTTACGTCTTAGGAGCACCTTTAAGCAGTTAAATCTTGTGGCGGCATCCAAGTTTTCAGAATTTAATATGTATTTTAATAAATCTTGAAGAACAAGGAAGGTGGAATTTGCGAAATACTTCTCCACATTTTTATTATGCACGCCGGTTTCTTCAGACAGCGCGTGGACTACGATATTGAAGACGCGGTGAACACAAATCCCTTGTAAATGATTGACAATCTTTTTAGGCGACATCGCAACGTCAGGAAAATGGAACTAAGTTTGGCGATGTATACAAAGCACGTTTACGAAAAAAAATGTTCAATTTAGCTTCAGAGTGTAAAATTAGCTCAGCTCTTGGGCAGATTGCCATAGGATCAAGGATGCAATAACATAACATTGTTATTGAAATATCTCTGCTTTAATTTTGAATTTAGTTGTTGACGAACGCAGTTGAAGCTGTCAGAGACAAGTCGTCAAATTACCACTAAGATAGTGGTAAAATACAGAAACAGTTCACTAATGCATGATTGGGGATAAAAATTGGCCTGCAAACTGCTGTTCAGGTTGCACTGTACACTTCAGTTCGTGCGTTAAAAATTGTTCCTTCAAATTAAAGAAGCGAAACCCCCTTAACACATCAGTTTGGTGTCGTTTTTAAGATGATTCGTGCGCCTACTCAGTGTTGTGCGCCAGTTTTAAAATAGAGGTATGGGACTTTTAACCCGAAGTTTGATGCTTTTAGATGATGAATTGTGGTGGTGGTATTTTAATCTAGTTATATGCCTTATAACAAGAAAAGTCCCGACATAGAGCACTAATATAATTTATTTTATTACCATAAGGGTGAGAGTCAATGATATTGCATATGAGTATCAAGTTACCAGTTTCGCTCAAGCACAAAAGACACGGTGTCGCATTAAGTGATGATTGTACCGTACTCGGCCGCAATCGGTAGGTTAACGAACAGTCGCGGATACTGTCGATACGGTACTTACTTAATAGTACGCAATTGTTTTGTTAATTCCAATCTAAAATTCTCCACATCTCCTTTATAATAGGATTAAGAGCATATTATGAAGCATATTATTCAGAAAGTTAACGTTTGTAGCAAGTGATCCCGAGTGAATAAGGGCTATATTTGTGTTTTACATATGGCGTTATACGATTTTCATTTCCAATATCTCCGATGGTTGCATATATTGCGAAATCTGTGAATTCTTTTATAAACAGAAAAATAATAAGGGGAAGGGGAATAGGACGAACATATTATTTTTTTTTACGATACAAGCTGAAAGCAAGTAATTTTAAACAAAGAACTAGAGCAAATTGAAAATATCGACGTAAAGAAGCAATAGGATTGTAGATTGTACAAACGTAACATAGAAAATAAACCGATACAACGAAATATCGAAGGATCCTCAGTATGACAATCTCTTTTAACTAATCTTACAAAATACATTTTATAGTTAACAAAAATGCATCAAATTTATGTCTTGGTGATTGAGATAATGCTCTTAATCTTGTTCCCAGCGATAGGTATCAGTGCAAGAATAACGATTTTGACATGTTTTGATCAAAATCCACGTGGTCGCCAAAAATAGATCAAATTCAAGTAATTGAGATAATGTTCTTGGTCTTTTTCCCAACGAGATTGATGCATAAATAACGATTTTGACATGTTTTCATCAAAATCCACGTAGTCGCCAAAAATAGATCAAATGGATGTTTTGGTCATTGAGATAATCTTTTTCCCAACGATCTTGGTAAATGTTTTGGTCATTGAGAAAATGCTCTTGGTCTTTTTCCCAACGATCTTGGTGCATAAATATCGATTTTGACATGTTTTTATCAAAATCCACGCGGTCGCCAAAAATGCATCAGATTCATGTCTTGGGCATTGAAATAATGCCCCTAGTCTTTTTCCCAACGATCTTGGTGCATAAATATCGATTTTGACATGTTTTTATCAAAATCCACGCGGTCGCCAAAAATGCATCAGATTCATGTCTTGGGCATTGAAATAATGCCCCTAGTCTTTTTCCCAACGATCTTGGTGCATAAATATCGATTTTGACATGTTTTTATCAAAATCCACGCGGTCGCCAAAAATGCATCAGATTCATGTCTTGGGCATTGAAATAATGCCCCTAGTCTTTTTCCCAACGATCTTGGTGCATAAATATCGATTTTGACATGTTTTTATCAAAATCCACGCGGTCGCCAAAAATGCATCAGATTCATGTCTTGGGCATTGAAATAATGCCCCTAGTCTTTTTCCCAACGATCTTGGTGCATAAATAACGACTTTGACATATTTTTATCAAAATCCATGTGACCTTAGAAAAATAATTTAACATCTTTGAATCACACACATGCGGTTATCAAATGTGCACGTGATGAACTCTTTCATCATCAAGATAATGCGTTCGCAAGCTTTTAAAACTCCAAATCCATGTGTAAAAAACAATTTTGGGTACATTTTGCTCTAAAACTTTTGACCTACCACTATACCACGGAGAAGAGTTATATTGAATTATGACACATCTAAGAGTCATACGGAATAATCTAGCGAAAGTCAGAACTCGATACATGATCTAGGTAATGAAATATGTTGTTTTCTATTATATTGAGCCCGCAGTTTTTCTTGTTCCCGATTCACTCGAAGTCCTATAACTTTTGTTCCTGTTGAACCAGCTTCCTGAAAAGCAATAGCGTCCGTCCTTAATGCCCAAAGTACCCGTACACCAAATTTCAACACAATCGGAAACATTTAAAAAGAGTTAGAGCGCACACGGACGGACGGACGACAATACAAAATTATAAAGGATCTGAGGATCCTTAAGAACTGAGAAAAGAAATATTTTTGCGGGAATGAGGAACGGGTAAATTATGATCATGTGCTTACTCCAGTAAATCTAGGGTAACCTAGGAATTTCGGGTACATTTTTTCTTTTGTCATTCGATCGAAAGGGTTTCAAAAGAAAAGCTTTGTTCTGAGTTTGCGCACTCCCAAAGTTTACGTTTTTCCGCCATTTTGAATCAGATTCATTTTTTTAAACGCTCCTATCTCCCGTACTACTTATCGCACATCGAGCAAACGGGGGGTCTATGGATTCGTCAGGACCTACATTTGTTGTAAGTTTATATTAAACAAGTTAAAAAGTAATCGTAAACGATTTACAAAAAGCGCATTTCCAATTGCATTCTTTTCCCATTGGCAAGATGCAACTTCTGTTAAAATCGTAAAAATCCGGCCACAAATAAGAAAGATAGCGTTGCAAATGTGCAATCCATTTTTGACGTGCTACTTCAATTTCAGTTTATAAGAAGAGTTTTATTTCAATGCTTTTCTAAATAAGAAAGTTGGAAATGCGCATGCGCAAATCTAAATTTTGAAACTGGCGTTTGATTTTCCTTTATTCCAAGTGCCTATGTATCAAATTTCATTCAAATACTTTTATAAATAACAAAGTTTGCAATTCGGTTTATAAATGGTCGAGATGCGAAAAGGGCACTGTGAATTTTGAATCGATTCGACTCAATTTTTGGCATTACGTATTATATGGCTAAAGCTATGCCCATATTGGATGTCATGCAATTCAGTTCATAACTAACGGAGATGTCAAAGCGATCGAACATTTCTAAACAAAGTTATCGTTCACACGGACAGATAGACGGACAGACAGCAATACAAGATTATAAACGATCTAAACGGCAAAAGTGTAAAATTATGTAACATGTAAAAAACGATTTGTTGGTTTTTTACAATAACTTTTTTAGCAATAAACGCAGAAAATAATTCCTTCCTTGGTGCAAGCCTAGACACCACAACGAACCGGATAGGCAAAAAAGTAGAAGCATAGCTCTTAAGATAAAGAACTAGTAGCGTCTCAACGAACGAACGGACGGACGGGCAGACGAACGGACGCGGTTGTTGCATATAGTGAAGCATTTTCACAATGTTCGTCATTTATTAAAAGTAAAAGCCAGTTTTGTTTATTTTGTCATCAAAATGCTATTTAATAAAGAAAGAAGTTGAGCTCCTGAAGCTGTTCGCATGTGTTTGTATCAGTTCTAATTGTGCCTGAATATCGCACACCAGATTCATTGGATTACTATAAACTGTAAGTAATATTAAGATTTTTTATTAATATTGTCTGTCGAACACTTGCGTGCGTGGTATATATGTAAAACAATCTCTTCCAGCATTATTGTTTTAATTTCTTTTATGTTTTGCGGAATAAAGGTAGGTAATTGCGGAAACACTACTTTACCAGAACGATTGTTGAGCTGTCCCGATTCATCCATATGAAAAATATTCATAGATTTGTCAAATAACTGGCTTTGCTCCAAGACATTATGCAACAAATAGAAATATTTTTTCATGGACTGACTTATAGCTAGAGAAAAATTCTCTGCTTTCCTAATGGATATTGTAGGATTTCTCCTTACAAATGATTGCACAACAAGCACCTTATTTTCTAACCGACATCTTTATCAGCTGCCATAGCATTTTGTAACGTCTCGTTGTTTCGTTGAATTCCCTATACGAGGCCACACCCACGACCCGACATACGACTCATTCACACCAGGACACACATTACACGAACCCTGTACGAGAGTTCAGTTGTATATTGAACGTAGTGGACTCTAGATATTGTTCCTATATTTTCTAAAAATGAAAAGTTGCTTTGGCGGTTACTTGTTATGATATTATGCTAAAATCTCATAAGCACCATTTTTTTGCAATAATTTTTGCTGCTGATATCAAAGGCATCAATTTTCTTGGTAGAAGAGGTTACATTCTTTCCAAAGAATTTATTATCTACTCCGAATTAGATTTTCCTGCAGTTTTCGTAATTCGCAGTAGTATGGAACAACAAAAACCTTCTGCAGGGGCACTTATGCATTATGCGGGTTACTCTGTAATTGGGCGCAATGCGAAAGATGTGGAAATCTCCTGTTGGTATTTTTTGCTTGCTTTGAAAGTACCAATAACGTTTCGATTGTTTGTGGTTTGATAGCAATACGCTATCTTGATTATATGTAGAATGATATCTTTCAATAAAAAAATTAATTTTATTATTTTTCCAGATTTCTATAAATAAATTTTAGATCATCGAAACGTTATTGGTACTTTCAAAGCAAGCAAAAAATATCATGAAGAATAAATTTTTTTCATAAATCAATATTTTAAAAAAAATTCCCTCTTGTAAATACCCCATCGCTTTACACACTGTATATCGAAACGGATTTAGGTGAATGGGATGGT